GCAAGCTGCACTGAAAACATAGCAAGCAAATACCTTGAGTGACCCCACTGTAATGTAGATGCCCCCGCCCTCAGCTTTCATTAGACGAACTTCATGTGTATAATGATGAAGGTATACAAATACATAACTTGAGTCAGGACAGTATCAATAACATCTGCTCTTAGGCCTGTAAGTCCTAGCCATTGCTAATTGCTTTTTGGGATGACCTAGCTTGGTGGCATAAGCACCTGCCTGGCAAATGCAAGGTCCCAAGTTCCATCCCCAGTACCACATGCTGTGCCAGCCCCAGAACTGGGCATGGTGACACACACCTGTAATCCCTGTGTAGCAAGACCCTGTACCAAGTCAAGGTTAATTCTTTTTTTAAAAAATAATGTCGGGGAGGGGCAGGGATATGTAATGCTGTAGTTTGGGTCTGAAATGGTTCTCAAAGATGCATGGGTTGAAAACTTGGTCCCCAGCCTACAGCTCTGTGGGAGATGTTAGGACCATGAAGAACGGGGTGGAAGGAAGCTAGATCAGCGTGGGGTGCACTCTCAGTGCCCTCAGAGGGAATACTGGGACCCTCAGCCCCTTCCTGGCCACCAACAGGTCACAGGCTTCTCCACCGCAAGGCCCTGCCATGACGTAGGGTACTGCAACAGGTCCAAGTTATCCTGGGCAAAGTAACACTGAGACCAAGTAACACTTTCCTTCTTCTAAATTGAGCATCCCAAGTGTATTGCCACAGAAATGGAAAACTAATACAATAAATTATCCAAGGAAAACAACCCGTACTGCATGTTTATGCTTACCCTGTGACACAACGCTTCCGTTCTGCTTCAGAAATAAGAAAAGAAGCACAGACCAGGTAGGAAGAGGAGGGACAAGGACCTGTCTGATTTCAGGACTCACAACCGAAAAGGAAGTTCAATCTTTAAGTTTTCTTCAAGGCAGAAAACTCCCCCCACCCCCAGTGTATTTCATCCATTTTTCTGTGGTGAAAATAACTAGCTAGCTTGTCAAAAGAACTACGTCTGTGAGCATGTAGGTGCTGCTTGTATCAAATCTCCCTCTCTGCAAGTTTGTCAGTGTGTCCCAAGGCAGGTCCAGGAAGAAGGGAGTGTGAGGCCCTGGTATGGCCTAAGTCTTCCCATCTGTTTTGATGCCTGTGCATGGTGGGGATAAGGAAGACAAGGACTCAGATGGTAGCCAAAAACAGGCACAGAGGTGATGCAGGGACGGTGGCAGAGAGGAAGCATCCTGCATTCTCCCAACATGCACTAAACTGTCCTGAATTAAAAGGAATGAGTGAAGGTCTGTCGTGCCTGTGGGGGAGGGGCGGCTGGTCCCCATGGATTCATGACTATCCCTTCAGTGAATATTTATTGAGCACCTTGGAGGTGCTGCACACAAGATGTTTGCAACGCACCACTGTATCTCCAACTGGTGAAAATCCATTCTCTAAGGCAGCTTACGTAAGAGGTAGAAAACCAGTAGCCGTAGTGGCTGATGATTTTATATGGTAATGAGTGCTGCGGATACAAGGGAGAAAGGAGGGAAGGGTTAGGGAGATCAGAAGTGCCAGGATCAGCACACATGTCCCCACTCCTTCAAGGACTATTTACTATTCTATGCCAGGAGATATAGCAGTAACAATAACCGGGTGGGGGGGGGGCATTTCTGTGATCTCAGCTCTCTGGGAGGCTGAAGCAGGAGGAACACAAGCTGAAACTCAGCCTGGGCAACAGCAACTTAGTGGGACCCTGTCTCAAAACGACTCAGGTACACAAGCTCAAAAATCACACGGTTTCCCATGTGAAACTCAAAGTCTAAGCAAGTCAAAGAGGAAAATAAAGAGGGGACAAATGGAGACAGATCTTTGGCAAAAGGCAAAGAAACAATAAGGTAGAGAGAGACAGGAAAGAAAAGGGACATAAATAGAACTGAGATGTGTCACGTACATGTGCCAACTACCCACAAAGAACATACTCATGATATCCCTCAAATGAACCATCATACAATAAAAATATTTTAAAGGTAAAAGCTCAGTATGACACTCCTGGGTTAGATCATTAATACCAAAAACAAAAGAATGAAGTTGCTATTGTATTCAGGCTTGTGGTGTAAATTATCTCCACTGGAACAGAAGAAAATCGGCAATAGCCTCATTTCAGTCATAGCAGTGACTTAGGGTCATGACAGTGAGTACTTCGCACTACCAGGCACCTTCACTGCAGTAATTCCAGAGACAGGGCACCAGATGATATCTAACTATGTAAATATATATATATTTCTTAGGCCAAGGAGATAGCTCAGTAGCACAAGCACCCACCTAGCAAGTGCAAGGTCCTTAGTTCAATCCCCAGCGTGCGTGCACACACACGCACACACACACACACAAATCAAAGATGTATATTTCTTGAATTTGCTACCGTCTGTAATTACCTAAGTACCTATTGGAAAAGCTTCCCCAGACACCTGGCAATAGACCCACGTAAGAAGTCTTCTGATTTTAATCCAGGAGTATATTTTGCCATGGAAATATATTTAGGTTGTTCCAGTTTAGCATAGTACATCTGTCCTGCTGAGTATAACTAAAATCTAGACAAAAGGTAGACCCCTCTACCCAAGGATGCTAACAGTGAAAATCAAATGGCTTGTGTGTGCAGAAGCAACCTAGACAGGAATGAAGATGAAATAAAACCATTCTCAGACAAAAAGAGATGCATTTGTGGCAGATTTGTTCTAAAAGAAATGCCACAAATGCAGGAGTGGTGGAACACGCCTGACGTCCTGGCTAATCAGAAGGCCAAGGCAGGAGAATCACTCGAACCTGCAAATTCAATACTAGCCTGGACAACGTGACAACAACGTGTCTCAAGGACAAAAAGTGCTAAGGGAACTACCCCACCCCAAACCCCACCCTCCAACTCCAACACCACCACCACCCCCACACACACACACTGCCCAGATACTGAGGAGTGACCTAAATCCCAAGTCCTTTTTTATGTTTTATTTTGAGACAAGGTCTTGCTAAGTTGTCCAGGCCAGACTCTAACCTGTGATTCTCCTGTCTCAGCCTCCCAGAGCGCTGGGATCGCAGGTGTGTGCCACCGCGCTCAGAAGAAAATTCTTCATTCTGACCCAAAAGGCTATCAGAAGGAAACCTGAACCTTTAAGAATGAAGGAAGAGTAACAGAAATGATAAATAATCTGGCTTGACTCCTTCCTTCTACCATTTTTCAATATGTAACACTGGTGAAAGCAAAATTCATCGTGCAGGTTTTTTCTTTTTTTTTTTTTGCGGAACCGGGGATTGAACTCAGGCCCTTGCACTTGCCAGGGAAGCGCTTATTCCACTGAGCCATCTCCCCAGCCCCCAGAAAGGGTTTTAATGCCTGCAAATGTGTACATAGCTATGACACAGAGGTTAAGGATTAAAGGATCTATACAGCTGCAAAGTTCTACATTTTATTTGCACAGGTAGCTTTTATTCAGACTATGAAAAATTAACTGTACTGTCATCTCCAGAGCAACTATCAGAAAGGGCACACTAGGGATGAAACCCCAGTCTCTGAGCCTGCCTATGCAGGCACTTAAGTCCAATGAGCTATCTGGCTGGCCTTCTGTGACTCTTTATTTTATAAAATCTTTTTAAAAATAATTTTAAAACCCTGTAGTTTAAAAACATTTCTATTTTCCTTATCTTCCAGAAGAGATGTGGTATCATTTCCAGCAGTTCTGATGGAAGTACTGAATAGCCAGGCCACATGACACACACGCGTAAGTCCAAGCACACGGAGCTGAGGCAGCGAGTGAGGGTAAGCCCAGCCTGGGCAATTCAATGACTTCACAAAATCTTATCTCAAAAAAAAAACGGGGGGGCTGGTGAGATGGCTCAGTGGTCTAAAGCACCTACTTAGAACAAGCTAAGCCAAGCAAAAGCACAGGGACCGCGGTTCAATCCCCCAGCACATGCCAGCCAGCCCCGCCCCCTGGTGGGCTGAGCTGGCCACACACACACACACACACACACACACAAATAAATAAATAAATAAAATTTAAAAAAAAAAGGGGGTCAGGGAAGTGACGTAGTGCAAAAGCTCTAGGTTCAACCCCCAGTACGGCAAGAAAAGAAACCAGACCACAAGGGACATAGGTGATTTCTAAGGCCCAGTTAGTCTGCGCCACAGCCCCAAGGGGGAAGAGTTGGCAGTCAGCTGTGACACAGCCTTCTCGGCAGGAGATGTCACCCAGGGAACAGTGCTTCTGTAGTACACTCAAGGCCCTGGGCTTCACTCCCAGGAATGCAGAAAAAATTAATCTTAGGCCAAAAGAACCTTGTACAAAGCAAAGAAACGATCTTTCTGGGCCAGAAAGTGCTGCTCAGAGTCTTGTACACGTTCTTCACAACCTCCCATCCGAAGGCTGCTCTTGACACACCTGCCAGCAACTGCGAAGCCATCCAGAGAGGAGCCCGTGGCTCAGATCCCAGCGTCTCCTGCACCGGGAGAAGGCCGCGCACCCTCCAAGCTCATCCTCTGGCTTCCTCCTTTATGAAACCCACACTCAATTAAGAAAAATACATGGAGGCCAAGACTGTCCAGTGTTTTCGTTTTTATTGAGCAATTAGCAAACATCAGAATGAACACAACAGTAAGCAACTCTAGCCCAGCTTTTCTGAGACCAATGACAAGTGACCAACTCAGAGGACAATTTAAGGATCCTGATGACCTGTCACCCCAACCCCCTGCTAATCTAGATGGTCAGACATCTGCAAGAAAAGAGCCACCCCCTCAACTCTGCTTCCAGCTGTGCCCTTTAAAGGACCCAGAGAAAGCTATCACAACTTTTAAGCCACCAGAACTGTACCGTCCCATCCTGGTTGACCCTGCTGTCCTGTACCATGATAAACACGACTCAGGATTCATGAAGGCCGTGACAACCAATCTTTTTTTTTAGCCTCCCTTACAGATTATTTGATAATCTGCTCTCTTTCTGTATACCTGGTCTTCTCATTTGGCTTTTTTTCTCCTTAAATCATGGACTGCTATACTTTTATTAACATGTTGATCCCACCACAGTACCAAAATATCCCTCAAAACAGAGCTCAAATTTGGCCAGAACAAAAACTGGGAAGTATGACTCTCTAGAACCCAAAAGAACAGGCAGCAGGAAAAGTCACCCTACACCACTAGGGACAGCTCAGGTCTCAGGTGTGGGACAAAGGAAAAACCTACATGCATCACTGAACGGAACTCAAGAACACTGCTTGGGGTCTCCAGGACAACGTGGCCTTGGAGTCGCCCCTACTTCCCAGACAGCTGCTCGTACAGTTTGGGCACGTAGTCGTCCCACTCGGCCTGGTAACACGTGCCGGCCACTGGGGCCCCGAGATGGTACTTCTTGCGGAAAGCAGCCACCTTGAACTTGCCGCGGTGGTCTCCAGACCGGTTGCTGAGGATGGGCTCGTCGCATTTGAGCGGTTTGTCCTGCTCGTAGACCAACCACACATAGCGGTGCAGGCCTAGGGGAGAGCAGAAGGGAAGGGGTACACAGAGGGCACCTCAGACGGAGCCATCGCCCGTCCTCATCAACCACTCAGGTCCTCCGCCATGAAACATCACCAGGGCAAGGCTGCTGCCAGGCCCCCGCTCAAACCCATCATTCCAGCCTCTGCCCTCCCCACACCTCACCGCCAACCCCTTTCTGCCCCTCATGGCCCATCCCACACTTCCGGCCCACCTCCAGCCAATGCCCATCACAATGCCCATCTTCCTTCTGCCTCAGGAACCTCAGGAGCCAAAAATCTAACTCTAATTGAATCTTCCTGCTAAAGCAAACAAATGCAGAGTGTTACCTTCCTATCGCTTCAACTTAACTTTCTTGGAACACTACAGACTTGTTTTGAAATGTTAATCATAGCAAAGAATTTTTGTTTGGAGTCAAGGTTTTGCTATGCAGCCCAGGCTGGCCTTGAGCTCCCTACAGCCCACATTGGCCTCGAACTTGCAGGGCTCCTCCTCCTCACGCTCCCCAAGTGCTGGGATTACAGGGGTGTACCACCAAGCCCAGCAGCAAAGAATGTTTTAGAAGGAATCAGCAACCACCCTATTAAACTAATTGTGCAGCTTGCTTATAGTTTTCTTTCTTTTTATAGTAAGTACTGGGGATCATTCCGAGCAGCATTCTACTGCGAACTACATCTCCATTCTTTTCCATTTTTTATTTTGAGATAGGGTATCACTAAATTGTCCAGGCTGGCCCTGAACTCTAGGTCCTCCTGCCTCAGCCCACCAAGCAGCTGGGAGTAAGGCACACGCCACCACACCTGGCTAGCTGTGCAGCTTCCTCTAAGACCCAGGTAAGTGCCAGACACAAATGGGTAGCGTGAGCTTTTTTAAAAAGTTATTTTTAAATTACATAACCATCTGCATATTAATGTTCTTTGTGGCACTCTTTGTAGCACCCCAGAGCTAGAAGCAGATGTCCATCCATTAGGGACATTAAACATGTGCTATATCCACAACATGGATATACCACATGTTTGACACATGCTTCAACACAGAGGAGCCCCAAAGAGTTCTCCAAAGTAGTTAAACTCATCAAACAGACCAGGGAAGAGTGATTGCTAAGAAGGCTGCAGGAAAAGTGGGGTGCTGACCTTCAGTGGCTACCTCTTCCCTTTGGGAAGATGAGGACGTTCTGGATACGTGTTTCCCAGTAACGTAATGGGCTGGGGTACAACACAGTTGAGTCAGTGAAATGTATGCTGCATGTTTTGACTAGAGTTTAAAAAAAGTTATTAAATGCTACCACTTCACACACATTGGAATGTCTACAGTCAAAATGACTAATAACAGTATAATCCCACCTACTCGGGAAGCTGAGGCAGGAGGATTCCAAGTTCAAGGCCAACCCAGGTAACTATGCAAGACCCTGTCTCAAGATAAAAATTAGAAAAAAAAAAAAAAGATAAAAATTATAGGAGGCCTTCCGGTTAGCTCAGTTGTTTAAGTGCCTACTTATGCAAACACAGTCAGGCACAGGATACGGTGGTTCAATCCCCAGCTCCACATGCTGTACCAGACCCACGCTTGAGGCAGCCTGAGCCAGCCAAAAAAAAAAAAAAAAAAAAAAAAAAAAAAGATAAAAATCATATTCAAAGGCTAAGATAAAGAAAGCTCAGTGGTAGTATACTTGCCTAGCAAACATAAGGCTTTTAGCTGCATTTCCAAGACTACCAAAAAGAACAAAAAAAATATAAATAGATAGATAGATAGATAGATAGATAGATAGATAGATAGATAGAATGTATTACCCGTGAACTATAGCCCAGGCTGGGCTCAAACTCATGGCAACCCCACGTCCACCTCACAAGTGCTGGGATCACAGGCGGGCACCACCACAGTGGGCAAGGCCAACTATATTTAATAATTGGTACAGAACTACGGGGATCTTACATGGACCTATTGATAACCTTCGAATGTGTGGGTGAGAGCATAAATTTCTCAACCATTTCAGAGAACTCTTGGGCAACTCTTACAACCCCACAATTCTAGAGATTTCCCTAAGAGCCGAGTACTGGGAACAATGGTCATCTGGAGGGGAGTACCACACTGCTGCACGGGGGAAGACCACCTAGCAACACCGCAGCGTTAACCTGGCTGGACAGGAACGAAAGCCACACATCCTACCGCACAACACCACGGATCCGACTACAAGCAGGTCAAAAATGACCCACGCTGACAGGTACAGGACCAATGAGCCCTGGCGCTTCAAATAAAAAAGGTCACCACAAACCAAAGAACCCTCTGGGTGGTGCAAATGACCTCTGTCCTTTCAAAATCCCTACGTGTGTATACATCGGTCAGATTTGCTGCCTGTAACCTTATTATGATCTATATTTTTTGCCATAATTTTATTGATAAATAGCAATGAGACAGTTTCAAATCAAGTTGGTAGGACAGTTTCAATAATTAACACACTGCATACATTCTTCTTAGTGGTTAATTGTTATATGTGGTTAATATTTATATGTGGTTAATATTAGTGGTTAATATTTATATGTGGATGGTAGATCTTACTAGAATAATCTTTGGGGGAAAAAAAGGTGACATACTAAGGCTTGTTTTTCTAATGAGAGCACGGCTCCTTCTCAAGAGAATTCTTAGGCTCATGAGTATAGTCCCCATAATTAAATTGCCTACTTTTACAACTGCCCTAGAGAACTTAAGAGATCCCTAGGAAGCCTGTCCCTTTACCTTCCCTATTATGAATGCATGAGAGGGCTCATCTGGAAGCTTCCGGGTCTGCAAATAAAGCATGAGCCCAGGGCAGGGACTTCTTAAACCTCCCCAGGAGAGGACAGCATGCACAAGAGCCACTCTTCCGCCATGCTTCACCCACCACCATTTCGCTGGGCCAGCAAATGGAGCCACCCCCTCAGGCAATCCCTTACCCACCTCCCAAGTGCAGGGAGGAGAGGGAGGAGAAGAGGAGGGGAAAGGGAGGGGGAGTCACAGGGCAAGCGCAGCTCTTCTCTACCTATGCTTTACAACAAACAAGAGCAACCCAGTGTGTGGCACTTCTTCAACTCAGTTCTACCAAAGGCTTCCAGATCTTTTCAAGATTCCAAACTAGACTTGAGGGGGAGGAAAAAAAAGAGCCATAAAGAGACAGACTTGATAACGTTTTGTAGTGAATGGGGAAACAATGATTATTTCTGAGGCTTCACAGGAATCAGAAACTCAAAGATCATATAAGCCATACCAGGTGAGATGGCACACGCCTGTAATCCCAGCACTCGGGACGCTGAGACAGGAGGATCGCTGTGAGTAAGAGACCAGCCTGGACTACAAAGTGAGCTCAAGGCCAGCCTGAGCTACATAGTGAGACCTGTCTCAAAAAGACCTCCCCCCACAAAAAAAAACTCCTCAAAGGCTGAATGTAGACCAGAGCAGACTCAACTGTGCTCAGCCCTTGTGCACCCCCGAAAGCCCTCCTACAACACTGTTTCCTTCTCCACGTCTGCCCAGCTTACTGAAGGCCCACAACTTAGCAGAACCCAAAGTGCCATGCACCCCACATTCGTGGAGGTCTGAATGTGCTCAGAAAGGCAAATGTCCTAAAGGAACTCAGGCAGCCTTTTCCCTCCAGCGAGCTCAGAAATTAAAAGAATCCTCAGGTGCATCTGGCCTCTCTTCGCGCCCCCACTCCACGCCCCCAGCCAGCCTTCACACCAACCTGTGCCACTGGGAGGCCCGGAGCCCACATAGTCGGAGAGCACGGTGCCACTGCTGATATCATTGCCCTTCATGTTGACCACCAGAAAATGGTGCCACTCCCTGTGTGGAAGAACACAGCCCGTCAGCACCACAGGTCACGGCAGTCACCGTGCCGCACCGTGGGCCAGGACACACAGCTATGAGGGCAACACAGGTCCTGCCTTTCGGATAGGCGCGAACCCCTTGGGTCTGTACAGGAAGCACCCAGACCCTCCCTCGCTTCGCTGGGGCAGAAGTCAAGGGCCCGCGGGCACTGTTTCCAACTTTGGAATCCATCTTTTTTTTTTTTTTTTTTTTTTTTTTTAATTTTTTATTTATTTGTGTATGTCCAGCTCAGCCCAAGAGGGGGCAGGGCTGGCTGGCATGTGGTGCTGGGGGATTGAACCACAGTCCCTGTGCTTTGCTATGCTTGTTCTAAGTAGGTGCTTTAGACCACTGAGCCATCTCACCAGCCCTGGAATCCATCTTATCTCTGTCTCAAATGACTGCCACTGCAAGACAGCAGTCTCAGAGACATGAAGTATCAGATCAGCGCCCCGATGCAACTCTTTACAGACGCTGAAATTGGAATGTTTAATTTTCACATCTCAAACTACTGTTTGAGTTTTTCCTCCTCTGAAAAATGTAAAAATCATACTTAATTAGCACGTGGGGCCAAACAGCCTCAGACGGAGATGGCTCCTACAGGTAGTCACCGATTACCACTCAAGGACAAAGAGGCAGCTTAAGCACACCACTGGCACTGGCACCCCGAGCCAGGTCTAATTCTCTCTTAACACCAGCCAGGTCACCCCCTTCACCTTTCCCCAACTTGCCTGAACTTGGGATTCTGCCGGCTGGGAGCATCCGGGTCCGTCAGAACCAGGGTGTAGAGTTTATCAGGATCCTGACCATCCCAAGAAATGCTGGTGGGTCTGTTCTTAACCTGTAAAGAGGAACCAGTTTGGAGTTAAGGAGCCAGAAATGCCTCAGAAAACCACCAATTATTTGACCTCAGAATCCGCCAGGGTTAAAAAAAAAAAAAAAAAGAATCCTCCAGAGTAAAAGAGTCGATTATTAATAAATGTTACTGGGTTTTGCATGTACTGAGTACCAAGAGTCCAAGGTTTATATACATGTACGTTAATTATCTTAATCTCAGCAACAGTCTGGGGCCAGTATCCCAGCAGGGGAAACAAGCGGAGGTGAGGCCTGGATTCGACCCTAGCCCCAGGGCCTGCTCTCAACCGCAGCCTACACTCCACTCCGTCGGGAACGACAAGGTCTCTGGATTTGGACACCAGGAACTCGGTGCCAGCTTGAATGAAATAAATCTACATTAATTAAGATATTTAAAAGTACAAAAAATAAAAAATAAAGAAAAGGCCTGGCTGGGCCAGAACTGAGGCGGGAGGCCGGGTAAGGGAGGAAGGCACAACCTCCAAGATACGCATTTCGTATTTAAAACACCTTGAACAACAAACTCTGTAAACACCCTCAACAGTGAAGGCTCCGGGTGGCTTATTCACCACTTGCCCCTGCGACAACTCCAGTTTCTCCCCTCCGTGCAGCCCAGGCCGGGCAGGAGGGCCCCAAGCAGAGCGGGCAGAAGCAGGCCACCAGCTGCAGAGCACACTCGGCTCGGGCTGCGTGTTCACTCCTGACCGCTAAAACAAAGGAGAAATCGCCGGGAGACGCCGATCGCCGGTTACATAAGGCGCCACGGTGGGGAGGGGCACTTACTGTCCAAACTAGGGCCCAAAATGCTAAGATCGCAGAAGGCCTCGGGGGCGTCCGGGAGGGCACAAGCTACTCCGGGCCCAGCAAGACTCCTACTCGGCCCCGGCCCAGGATCGAGGGTGTTTCTGAGCCCGGCCTTCTCTGCCCCTTGGAGTCCCAGGAAAGCGGATCCAGGTCTCCCACGGGCTGAGCGCAGCCAACACCGGCCTCGCTCCCCCGCCTGCCGCGCCTCCCCGCACCACCCGCCGCGCACTGCCCCCCGCGGTACCTGGGTGGGCGTCAGCACTTTGCCCAGCTGGTCCACCTCCACCCCGCCGTAAGCGACCCGCAGTGGGTACTCGGGCTGCTCATCCACCTCCTGCAGGCTCAAGGGCCCGGTCCACTTGCTGACATCTGCCGGCATGGCGACACGGAGCGGCCGTTAGGAGCGAGTTGCAGCGGAGCGCACGTGCACAGAGCGCAGGACGCGTCCCAGTCCGCAAACTCGCCGGAGGCTGCGCCCGCCGCTCCGCTAGGAGAGCGCACGCTCGCGCCGCTGCCCCGCCCCGCCCCGCCGCCGGGCCTCCAATCAACGGCGAGGCCTGGCCCACTCGGCTCTGGTTGGTCGCACCCCGGTAAGGCGGGGCGACGGGAGCTCTCGGGTCGAAGCAACTCGCTAGGCGCGGTAGCTGAGTTCGCCCGGAAATGTAGCGGGGGTCATGCGGGTTCCTTGTTTTCAGAAGTGCAGCTGAGCCAGCCTTTTTTTGTTGTTTGTTTTCACCTTTGTGCTTGAATCTTTCCTCCAGTTTCTCTTTAGAGGTGATGAAGACTTGCTTTTCTTTTTAGAAAAAATTCAATTTTATTTTATTTTGAAGGGTAAAAAGCAAAAACAAAAAGACAGAAACAGGGTAATATGGAGAAATACATATGTTACAGATTTGCATAACAGGAA